ATCTCATATTTTATAAATTCTATTTAAGCAAATAATTTATTAACTTTTTTGTGAAAATTGATTCCTCTGAAATATTCTTCAATATGCATAATTAAATGATTTAAGATTAATAGAGCGTACTTGTTGGCATAAACTTCTAATATGCTTTTGATAAATGAATAGCAAAGTTTAATGCAAAGTAGAACAATTATTGTTTAGAGTAATATTGAAGAAAATACATTATTTTCTTATTCTGCTACATATTTAGCAGCACCAAGAAAGATTGTGATAGAGCAAATTTGTGCTGAGGATAAATCCTTGTTATTAAAATTGAAGAGGATATATGGTTTCATATTAAATGCTAATAACTAATAAAAAAGTAAACATAACCCCAACAATGATGCTTTTAGAAGAATATAAGTCTCAAAATATGTTAAGATTAGGATAATTATTGTTTTTTTTATTAACTTTATTTCTTCCCAAAAGTAATTTCTTTTATTGTATTCATTAATTAGATAACAAAAATGCTTTCTGATTTAAATGTTGTCATGTTAATCCTTCTTAATGTTCATAACAATAAAAATGGAAAGAGGAATAATCACACTAAAAATAACTATCCCTGGAATTACAAAAGATGAAATCCAAATTACATGCTCTTAAGATCCAAAAAGGAGTGAAACATCACCTTGTATGTAACTCTAGTCTGAAACTACTCTTTTTGACACAATTGAAAAATACCTAAAAATAATTGAAGTTGAAATACATTTTTACTAATCCACCATAATTAGAAACATAAAGGTAGAGTAGAGAATTAGAAATAGTTTCTAAATTGAAATTGCTCAACCCAATCTTCTTATACTAATTATAAATTAGATATCCCATAATTATAAGTAAAAATTGGATTGTCATGAGGAGAAGCATTGTAATTATTTTTGAGTAAATCAATTTTATTGATTGATTTTCTGATAAGTAACAATCCAGATTGTTAGTCATAGAGTAAGAAGTGTTACTGGCTGAATCAACAAAAGTAAATGAAAAAGAAAATTGTATATTAAATGTAAATATCACGGAGAAAATCCATAAATAGTTTAATAACATTTTTATTAAAAAACCTTCATGCCCTTACAATAAATGATTTATTTACCTTATTCTAGGTTAAAAATAATTTTACTGAATCTTTTTTATAATTTCAAATTTTTGAATAATTGATTAGACTATTCAATGCTCCTTAAGGTAATAATAATTGAGATAAACGACCTAAATAAAAAAATTAAATTACCAAATCGATGCTGCTATAAATGGAATTATACTGTCCTAAACGCCAAAACAAGAGATACACTATGAATCCTATTAATTTTTAAAATATTTCCCTTCTCCTCTAACATTATAAATATCACATTCTTCGCATAATGCTCCAATATGTCCTTAATCACATATTTAATTTCCTTATCCCCAACCCCCTTTACAGAACTTTAAATTTTTAAAGCATTCCTCTATTGAATCTGATAAAAAATTTGGTCTCCAAAAGCCCTCTAATAATTCTATATTATTTTCAGTTATATTTTTAAATTTATTTTTATCAAATATTGAACACTTTGTTGCATCGTATACCACAGAGTAAAATCCTTAAGTTGATGAGCAAATTTAACACCCAGAATTTATATAAAACTCTCCAAGTTAGCATTTCAAACTTTTGACTTATATTATGTAATTCAAACTTTTCTAATGCTAAGATGATTTACAACTAATCTCAATTTATAATAGATGTTTTTCTTAATTATAAGGGTCAAAAATGAAGGAAAGAGAACCCAAATTATAGTAGTCTTTTTCTAGATCAAATTGCAAAAGCTTTTCCTTTGCCTCCTACTCAACCTAATTCAAGCTTTCTTCATAAATAGTTTTGTTAGTTAGAATGCATGTAGTGCTAAGAAGATTCATGAGTTATTCATTTAAACTATTCTTTAAAATTAAAGCGAAATTTGAGATATAAGAAAAATATTTATTGCTAGATGGCTAATAAATTTGATAATCATTGATAACTTAATTACTTGGAATCATTAAATAATTTGGAATAAAAGGCTTTCCTTATTGAATAATACTATAGGGTTAGAGCTATAAATGATAAATGAGTGTTTAATTAATGATTTACTTTTTAGATTGCATTTACTTGTTGTTGATTAGTAATGTTAAATGGTGGGGAGATTCAATAAGATTATCTCCAAATTATTTTGCTTTATTAAATAGTAAAAAGGAATTTTTAAAATTATGAAGGAGTATAGTCGCATCTTAGTTGAAAAAAATTCCTCCTCCGTCTAATGCCTCATTATTAGTAATTAATGTTTATTCAATTTAAAAATCAGACTCCTTTAGTTATAAAAACAATCCTCCACCTGACTTGCTTACAGAATTGGAGATTATCTTACAATTTGTCATTCTTAATTTAACATTTTCAAATTAGTAATGCCCCTCCGAGACTACCCTTATTCTAAATAAAATAAGAATCTCTGATTAAAATATTTGAACTAATATAATTTTAGATCAAAAAATAAATGCAACCATTTTCTTTCACACTATTCTAATAACAAACAATATCAGTTTATTTTAAAAATTTTGAATTGTTCAACCTCAAAAGTGATTATTCCATTTGAAAAGTCTGATCCATTATTATTAATTATTTGTATCTGTTAAAGCACAAGGGAATTTTAGTCAGAGATACTTTTCACATATATCATCTGATTTGATTGAACAAAAGATTATATCTAACTTATGATGTCTGAAAAAGAAGTTTATTGTGTTACTGAGGTATTTCTCCAGATTCTGCATCCTACAATTTCATAATTCAAGTCAGAAAAATTAGGAATTGCGTTCTATTTTTATTTATAAGTATTGCTTTTAATTATCTTTAGTTTCTCAATAGAAATCGTTGATTCAGTTGCTGAGGTTTAAGTTATGTGTATGAGATCGAAAGAATATAATTTTTGTATAAATACTAGTTGACAATCTAAAAGTTTTAATTTAAAAGCATTTTAAAATTTTAAGATTGGAGAGATGACTATTCCTTCAATAGTCAGATTTCGGATATCAATTTTACAATTCTCAAAGAAAATCATAGCATTCTCTTCACTATGTATTCTACCTAATTCTAATGATGTAATTGGACCAATCAAGGAAAATAATTAAAACCACAATTCTTCGCTTTAATAAATGGATAATTTATTAATACTTACTAAGCTTTATTACATAACTTCTGCTGAAAATTTAACAAACATAATTGTATTTATTAAGGAAAGACAATTCCTTATTTCAATATTATTTAAACGTATAACATTTTATTTTAAAGAGGGAGTAATTGTAAATAATGAAGCAGCCATTCTATTGAAAATGTTTGTAAATTTGATTTGTTTTAGATCAATAAATAAATGGCTGCCTGCTGAATCTACACTAATGCAACCTGAACCTCCACTTTCTTTTAGATTATTATAAATAGAATATATTGAGACGTTACTTATTTTGATTATTCCCTATCCTTGAGTTTGAATAAAAAAAACAGGACTTTTAACAGCAATAATTTCTTAAAAAAGACTATCCTTACAACTAAAATTAGAAGCTACAATATAAATCCCTGAATTTTACATGTTAAATGTTGTTTGAATAATTTAGTTAATCTCCTATTGATTATATTAATCCTCTAATTCAAAATCATAGAATTGTTGCCATAACTTTTATGATAAAACATTAGAATTCATAAAGATAAGATTAGAAATTTCAATCACAGTAGCACTAAGAGTAATAAATGGATTAGAAGAATTAGTTAAGGCATTTTGATAAAAATATATCTGTTGAATTTAAACTACACTGTCTAATGAACTTACATGTAATAAATCCATTTATGTGCCAATGGTTCCGTCAATTTATTAATTGATAATATTCTACGTAAACTAAATATTGTCCAATTTTATATTTAAATTATATTGAGAGTATATATTTACCAATGATATTGATGTGACTAGTTTGTTCTATAATATTACATTTCCTCTAAACTATATATTCGCTAATATTATTTTCCCTATTCTATCAATAATAAACTGATTACTAAAATTTATATCCATTAATGAGTAGTTGATACTAAATTGATTAATAATTTTAATGTTTGATAATGTTACCTACTGAAAGCCTAAAACTTAAAATGGTTAATTAATAAGTTATTCTTGATCAGTGCAAAATTGAGAGACAGGAACTTTATGCTTTTATTAAGAGTTTTCAAATATTATAGAATCGAAAACTATCTAATTAATTTCATAAAGATAAAACACAGCTAAATTTTGTAAATTTAAAAAGTGAGCATTTTGGATCATTAATGAATGGCAATTCAATTTAAATAGTTAATTTTATGGATGTACCTTACCAAATAGGTTATTTTCTTACACTTTAACATTTTTAATATTAACAATGATATTATTGATTTAAAGATTAGATTAAATAATTATCAAACTTGATTCTTAAAACGCATTAGAATTATCTTCAAAACCATCAATTGTGCATAACAGCCTTGATTAGTATGTTTGGGATAATGTTGATAAAATTGAAGATAAAATAAGAGTGTTATAACTTGTTCTAATTCCGGTTAAATCTGTATTATCATTAAAAGCAATTATCACCGAATTGTCAAGATTGTTATTATGGAAGAATAGATTATTTCCCTTTATTTCAAAATTACTGTGACTTTTGAGAAAAAAGGAATACTCAAATTTGCATTATTTGATTTCAACATCTTATAATATAATTTAAGTGACTTGGTTCAATATTGTTGAGAGTGAGAAAAATGAAGAATTCAATAACGAGCAATCTTCAATTAGGATATTTTCAATAGTTGCGATGTTTTAAAAGTAATCAATATTAAATAACGTTGAGTTTTTTAAAATACAATTCTTGAAGGTCAAATTCTTTATTTTGAATGGTATTAAAATAGGTTGTTTTTAAAACTAAAAAAAAGTTGAATCGACAAAGACACTATCTAAAATCTCGACATCCTAAATCAGAATATTTCCATATATTTATGTTTAGAAAATTTCTAAACCAAGATAGTTGGTGTTGATTAATTTTAAATTGTTTAATGTTAAATCTATTTTTTTGTCAGGATTTATAAAAACGCAACCTTAAAACCTTTTAAAGGTTATGTTTTTGAGTTCCACTGAATCATAATTGGTTATGTTTATTCTGCCGCTTGAACCCAAAATATTGTTATCAACTGAAAATAATCTCATATGAGTTTTCTTTAGTGAAAATATTGTCTTCCTTAAGTTATTTAAAATAACTAATTTGATTCCATCACAATCTTTAGGTTCTTCAAAAATTTAAATAATATAATCTATCGTCAATTAATCTACTCCTACTTGGTTGCAATATTAAGAATTTATAGCATTTTCATATATTCCTGGTCGATATCTTATGTTAATACAGCTTTCAAAATATATGGAGTATGAAAACCAATTTGTACAACCTTTATTAAAACAGTATTTAACATTATTATAATAAGGATTGATGGCTATATGAGAATCATCAATTGGTATTAGACATTTTGTTGTAGATAACTTGTTTGATTCCTCGAGTTAAAAATTTGCTTGTAGTTCCTAAAATATGATAGAGATTATACATAAATTTCTTCTTCATCTTCTCATCTTCACAATATTAGCATAAATTTGAACAGGCTATACATTGGCCCACCATATTAAACTCGCATAGTTTATTTGTAGTAATTTAAAGAGCATCTCTAGCAAAAGAAATTTTAAATATTCTGTTTACAATTTAAACATTCACTACTACAATACTATTGGCAATCATTAGATTGTGTTAACATATATCCTTCTTTACATTTAATATCGTATTCAAATATATATCCTGGATTGTTTGAGTAATAATAAGAATCAGGTAAAAATTACATTTAAAAACTCTAAATTAATTAAATATTTGCATCATCCTACGTTCCTGCTTAAATTACAGAAGTGGATTACTCATTTTGGGAAAGTTTAGTACTCAAAATACAGTTTCCTGACACAATAGAGCTCACAAAACCTTTTCTGCAGAATATGCATTGCAGCCTGGATTTAGGACTAAGAACACATTATAAACAATTAGAGTAATATTTTTCGCAATTAACAATTTCAGGCGCAACACTAAAATCATTTTAGTTTGAGAGAGTACATACTTCGATACCATCAAAATTGATAAATGATCTTAAACAACTTTAAATTTTTGACTATTATCTTAAACATTCCCCAATTATAAAGTCAAACATAAAGCCATCTTCACACATTGCACAGCCAATTTATATCATTTAATCATTATTAAAACTTTCAAAATTTTGATACAAAGTACTTTTTAAAGAAGATTCATCTTTCTGGTATTCAAAACAGTATATGCAATTCTTTTTGGAGCACAATTTGCACTTATCATTAGAGCTTTTATATAAGGGTGGCACACAATCTTTTTCTTTGACAATTTACATACTAATACAGTCATCGTCTTTTAATATATATTTTTAATAACACTCTTTACATACCACTCCTGCAACAGATGTAACATATTCTTTGCAGCTTTCAGATGTCTTGAATATGCATATGTCATCATTAGGGTTGCAATATAATGAAAATGAGCTCGATCGATACAAAAAGCCTGAGTATAAACTATTAAAATCATTTATAGCTGTTCTTAAGGATCTAATATAATTAAAATCATTTCCATCAAAAAGTAATTAACTAGAATACCAATATTAAAGTTGTTCTGTCTGTTAATTTTGACTTATATATAAATCATATACACAATTTGGGCTATAAGCAAAAGATTTTGGATTTTACAAACATTCTCTACATGTGATTAAATCTTTCCGTATTATCGAAGGACTAGATAAATTATATGCAAGAATTACCATTTTATACATTAATTATCTAATTCAAAATAACCATATTGGCACTCATTATTTGAGATAGTTTCATCAATAAATTCTAACTCTGCTTCTTTATAACCGATACAAATATAATCATCAACATTATTATAAGGACAGACACACACTTTATGTTCAGACAAATAAATTCTATTGGATTCTTCTGAGCAAGATAAGCAATCTTCATTTGTTGGGCCATCACATTCTTGACAACTGTGATGACAATTATCATCAGAAAAAGGCTGATCGCAATTAGAAAAATAGAAATTTCTTAATAAGATATACAAGTGATTTGAATTAAGTGATTAAGTATTTCCATACAACAATTTCATTTAATATTATTAAAATTGATGCACTTCTAATTAAAGTCTATACTCATGAATCATTTACTATTCATAAAATTTAATTTCAATATCTATTTAATTACTTATCAACTCAACTTCTATTTTATGCCATAAATTGATGCTATGAACAATATCAAAAGATTTTTCTATTAGAAATGGATTATTAGTAAAATCAATTGAAACTATTGGAAAAGTGTAGCTATAAGTTTTTACAATAATTTTATTCTAAGTATCTGATATTTAATATTGAATTTAAAGGGGGGATAAGTTATCACTAGATAAAGTTGAACTCTCATAATTAGCAGATAATTTTATGAATGGATAAATAAATTGATTGTCTTCCTTAATGATCTCTTAGATTTTTACCCATCCTTATAAAAAAAAAGAATCACAATTTTAATTTTCAGATATTAACTGTCCTTTTTATGAAGACTTAATATTCATATCTTGAATATCTACTATTTCATTTGGATAACAACGACAATTTTCATATTTAACAAAAAGACTCTTCACATCATCAAACCAATCGATGATAGTCAATTCATCTAATATCTAAAATTTTTATATCATAATAATTCCAGGAAAGTATGAGAATTTTTAATGTTTTTAAATTGATTCTATTCTTGATTTAGCTACAATTAAGCCATTTCCAAAACTAAATTAGAGATCATCTCCAAAAAATGGATATTTAATTTCATCGATGCCATGAATTACTATTTATTGTTATGATATTATTAAAATTTCAAATCGTTTTTATAAGGGCCATTAAAGCACTTCAAGAAAATACCAAAAACTTTCGTATTAGAATATTTCAATCTCAATTATATATTCTTTCTATTCATCTTCATTGTTAACAAATTTTATTGTCTTTGTAATTTTGTTTGCCTCATAATCTAGACAGTCGTAATATATTAAATTTATTTCATTGCTTCTCCTATCAAGTATATGATGAAGATGATAACAATTACTATCAAGTAATCCAACTGGGCCAGTTTAAGGTATTGCACTTAGAGGAGTATATTTAGACCATATGCCATAGCTAAAATATTTTGTTAGCTAAAAATCATCATCTCTAATCTTCACTAATTATTCTGCTACCTAGTATTATGAGTCCAATTCTTATATTTCAAATTACCATGTGGAATGCAAGATAATGAAATATATGAAAATTATCATCAATCTGTTATTTAAAAAAATATAATCTTGGATCCTTAAAAATAATTTAAATCCTTAAACAAAAAGAAAAAGTCTCATTAAAATGCATTCAAAATGAAATTTTACCGTTAACTTGAAGCAAATGAGATACGAATTTTTCCTTATTAGGAGTAGTTTTCTAAATATGAAATAAAAAACTCATAAAGTCAGATTATTTATTTTAATGAATATTGAGAAATGTACAATTAAGATAGATTTGAAGAATTATTTTTAAGAAGAAAATCTCTAGACTTTATATAAAATTGTTTAAAATTATGAAAATTAAACTTCTAAAAAACTTGTGGTTTGTTTATATTTGGAGCAATTAAAGGTAATAATATTTAATAAAGAAAACTTAATGATGGACTAAGAATAGAATAATAGCCATTTTAAACATAATTTACAAGAAATTGAAAATACTCTAAATTCCTAATGATAGTTTAGTTAATAAAGTCTATCCTCTTTGAAATATGGCTTGGGTACTTTTCTAAATTTCCATTTGAATTAGATTTAATATTAATTCTTTAAACCATAATCCATTTTATTAAAATTTATTTCTGCTAAGTGTTGAATTTTTAACATATTTTTATTTTCAATTGTTTCTACTTTAAAACTAATTACTCAAATAAAAATAAAATTTTTCCGATTCCTTATTTTATAAATTTTATCATTAAATCGTACACGGCTTTCTTACCTAATTCTTATTCAAAGTATGATTATTAATTGTTTATTTGGAACATAAATCTGATACTACGCAAAAGATTTTATTTGAATGATTACAAATTATGAATAGCTTATAGGTTATTATCATTTTATTCTTATTAAAGCTTCCAAATAAAACTATCCTATTAAGATCATGTTCTAATAAAATTCAAAATCTTTCTATTCATATAATTGGGTATCTAGGTATCTATTTTACTAATTCTTCAAAATATAAATTAATTTACAATTTGTAAGACATGTATTATCTAATTTTACTATCATCTAGAATTATGTAAGTATTGTATGGCATTACAAGTAGTATGGTGTAGCTTTAATCTAAGTTAGAGGGTGTTAGAGTTCAAACCTGCTTTTCATTAATCATTTTCTTAAAGCAGTATATACCAAAGGATTTCTTTCGATTTTCACTACTCTTATAAAAAAAAAATTGATAAATTGGAAAAGTTTCATTTCAATATGAAGAGATGCAAATTATTATAAGTTAATCTTTTGTAGTGATAATTTATATGTGTAAAATTGTATTTAAAGTCAATAGCGGGACAATACGATGTGAAGCCAAAATTATTTTTTGAGTCTCTACATTAGGGATTAGAATTTAAAGGAAATATTGAGCGCTAATCTATTCGAAAACATAAATAAAATTTAGGCTTTTCTAAATCTAAGTAAAAATTTCCAAAGTTAAAGAAAGAAATGTTGATGGGTTTAGTAAAAAATTTATATATTTAGTAATGGTTAAAATATTATTCTTTAATAAATTCTGATTTTAATAAAATTATTGACTAAATTAATTAGAAAAAAAATCACTCATTATATGTAGTATTCTATGATAGATTAATAAAAATTGTATAAATTTCAACAAAATTTGGAAGTATTGGAAACAAAGAGGAAAAATACTTATTTTACTAAACAAATAGTCAAGTTATTGGGATTTATAGTTGTTTCAGTTTTAAAAAAGAAAATCCAGTATCATTAAATAAGCCTGATTCTATATTAACCTGAGGTCTCATAAGAACCAAACCATGAAGCCTTTATCTTATCCTATTGCTTTTGGAGGTTTTATGTAATTTAGAGAATCCTGAAAATACCAAAAATATTCTCTTTGGGATAAAATAATAAATTCATTATTTGAAAACAGAAGAATTAACTAGAGAATATCAATATTAAATTCTAAAAAAGGAGGAGGGTATACGTTCTCAATTTTTATTTAGAGGACAGAAAATTACTACAGAATTAACTGGAAGCAGCTTATTACAAGAAAGAGATAAATCTGAGATAGGCTGTAGGTAATCAATAATAAAACTTGTAATTTAATTAAGTTCGGTAATTCATAGAAAAAAACTAAATAAAATATCTTTTGATAAATAAATTTTATGGATATAAGAATTCAAGATTCAATTAGCATATTTAAGAGTTTTAAAATTTTAGTTGCTATTTCAATTTTGGATTGGAAATTTACTAAAAACATACCCTATCCTTCTTATCCTTAATCAGTATCATCAAATTCGCCTAATAATATCGATGTACTTTACCTGTGCTTGTATTCACAGCAGGATCAGTAAAATAATGGCCAACTCCTTAAACATCATTTATCATGTATAATCCATTACTAATAAAGAATGTATAATATGAGAAAGCTTGATCAAATTTATTTAATTCTGTAATACATTCATTAATATAGCCATAATTGTTATTATATTTTACAAATTCCCCCTTGAGAAATCTTTCAGCAATCCAATATTTATCTAAAGATTAAAAATGCTTAAATACTTTAGCTGTCCATTAAAATCAAGCAGTCACTATAAACTGCATCAGGAAATTTACAATTGTTAAGATTCTATTACTTTAAAGCTTCATCAATATCAGCCCTAAATTTTTTCATTAATTATTAACTTATCAAGTGAGATCTGCATTCTTGAATAGCCTCATATTTAGATAGATATGACTTCTTTCCAAGAGGACTTTTTATTACATATATTTCATCCTATTATCCGTTCTTGTTTTTCATTAAATAGACATCATTTATCCTTCCAAAAGCAAATGGAAATTCAGTTCTAATACAATCAAATTATCCTTCTACTTTAATTAAATAATCCGTCTCAGGGTTTTTTCCTATTTTATTAATTGATAATAGATTATCAGCAAAAACCTAATCATTTATTGTTACATTTAAAACTGTAAATTAATTATTAACTACCCTGGTCTATTTTTCAAAATTATAAAAATCTCCTTATTTGTATAAAGCTTCAATAGCACCATCTGTATTCGTTGGGCTTTCTTTTTATTGTTTTTTGGATTTAGTTCCTTTTGAATTTACTTAAGTAGCTTTTACTGAAACACTCACTAGAGATTCTGCTATTTTCTAGGCCAACTTATTAAATTCAAAACCGCTAGCATCAACATAAAAAAAAAGTCTTAAGCATTTTTAGCTTCATAAATCTTTTTAAATTCTTCATACATTTTAACTGTTCTATCGTTTAAATTAAAACCTATTAAGATGATCTATTTTTCTATCAAACGATGAAGAGTTTCTGTGATGTCATCATTCGGGTGATAATCCCAAGGGAAATTATGGTATTTTCTACCATGACAAGGAGCATCAGTAATTAAAATTGCTATCTTAAATTTATTCTTCCATTTAAGATTTGTAATCATTTATTCTAAAGCTCCTCTAATATCTTCTGGAACATCTCGCCCTCCTTTAATTGGAACTTCTGCAATAAATTGTTTTAAGTTTTCGATATCGTTTGAGAATTCAAATTAATGATATTTTCCATTTTAAGGTTTCTATTCTATATCATAATAGGCAATCGAAGATAGAATTGGATCTCTGTTTGTCTGCAATTTTATAACATCGAAGGATTCTTAAATACAGCATCTTACCTGCTCAATGTACTTTTCCATAATTCTAGTTATAAATAATAAATTACGAAGTAAAGTCAATGACATAGCAAATGTCTAATTTTCCATATTCTTCTAGAAAACCTTATTATTTTATAATTATTTCTTTGATCATCCTGTCATCCTACTTTTTTTTATCATTAATTCTTTAATAATTTCTAATTTATTTATTTAATACCTTGTTTAATGTAAATCTTCTGATTTATTCGGATTTATTTTTGGTATTTGATAATAATTTAAATCAGTTAAATTTAAATCAACCAATAACTGTTATAATTGACACAAAAATTTATTAGTAAGCTGTTCAAGCAAATTTTGGATTTTTGATTAAAATAATTGGAAACTAATACTTGATGATAAGAAAGAATTAATTTATTCTGAACTTAAATTAAGTAATGATTATTAAGACATTTAGTATTTAGATCTAATTCCCTCTACTAATAAATAGTAGTTTTAATTAATCATATCCATTTATTTATTCATTCTATCAATTAAATAATCACATTCTTTTTCAACTTTTTTAAAATGTTCAAACATAAATGGCAACTCTTCTTAATATTCAAGATGGGAAACAGGGACTCCAATTTTTACACATTAATGACAATATAATCTCTATCCTGGGCAACATTCATCAAAACACACTAATATTACATTCTTATTATGTTCTGGATTCGGGCACTTGATAGCTAAATCAGAAGATTAATTCATAAAGAATATAATTATTAAATTTTTTTCAATTTCTATTAAAAATAGTTTATAATTATTATTACTTTTAGTATTAAAATTTATAATTATCATCATGTTATAAATCATTGTCATTTTATTTGCTTACTTTAATTTAACATTTTCAGTTTAAATTCAGAAGAAACTCAAATATAGTAGTATTAGAACATTACATTTATTTAGGATTAGCACTTGATAAAAATCTTAATAGATATTATTTACAAACTTGATAAACTATTGCAATTTGCCTTTCTATTTAAAAAAATCTTATATACTAATGGTCATTTAAATTCATAGAAAAGTTTTAAAATATCTTTACATCTTTTGATTTATATTGGAATTATAAATATGTTGAACAAAGTAAATAGCTTGTCGAATAAATTAATAGAAGAATTATATGTATACTGAGCCTCCTTAACGAGCCCATTAAATTATTTACTTATCTTTATTATTTAAGTTATTTTAATATTTAACAAAAAAACACTCTTAAAATTTATTTTTATGAAATAATTAATAATTGACATTGTCAATATTATCCATCAAAATCATATGAGCATGTGGGATGATTATTTATCTCTGAAAATTTAAAAAATCCTTTAAAATATAAAGGTCTCAAAAAAAGAATATATTCTCATTTAAGTTCTAAAAGAAAATAAATTTCACAAAAATATTAAATTAAGATAGTATCAACCTTAAATAATTGTTCGAATTTTTAGTCACTTAACAAAATAGGAAATTTATGTTTATAAAATTTGATATTTCTACTATAAATTGGAATTTATTACAAATATTCTGAACATATGTTTTGAATATTTCAAAAAATTCCCAAAGAAAAAAAGAGTTATATTAATTGTAAGAGCCATATCAATTTTAAATGGATTGGAATAAAGATCTTCAACCAATGAAAAGAGTTGGCTATGATAATCCTCAATTCGAAAGTTTGACCACATCATAATTTTGACATATTGTATGGAGCATATGTTTAATAATTATCAACTGATTGTTGGTTCAAGTTTAAGATTTTTGAGTATAGCTATCTATTTTATTCCGAAAAGAGTTATTCATTATAGTTTAATTCAGATGCAAAGCTATCAAGACTAATATTAGAACCTTTGGTAACACTATTAGTATGATATTATAGTGATAAACATAAACATTAATGATAAAGAGAATTAGATAATATATTGGTAACTTGTAAATGTTTAGTAGAATATTAGTAGTTTGTGACAATCGTAATCAAATTGATTAAGCTTGCGAGATAACTCAACTAGATAAATACGAATGAACCATATAAGGATATATGATATTATTAAGTGAGAAGATAAGATAATCAGATGAATTGTAGTTTATTTAGAAGAAGTAATTTGATAAATGCAATTTCTATGATTGCTTTTACTAAGAACCTGCGTTATTCACTTTGAGGTAGTTTTATTGTT